AATTCATAAATACAAATTCTATATTTTACCTGTATATTTCTGTCTCTCGCTTCCACGACTTCTCATCGCGAGTAAGGAATATTTTTACAGCTATATTTTCACCATGCCACTGTCCCCGCCATACTTCGCCATACTTTCCACGTCCAATGCATTCTACTAAAGTAACCTGCTTAGCAAGAGTACGTTGAACTAATAATGGTAAACCACTTCCGGAACCTGAAGTCATTGGATGTTGAAGATATTCCTAAAAGATATGCAATTCATATTTGTATTTGTTTCTACTTATGTTTCTTCAAATCGGTTCAACTAACCCGTAAAGTACTATCACCAGCACTTGTGGCTCGAAGTAGTTCGTCGTTAACTAAATATACATCTGGATCATTTTTTATACGAGAAGCCATTATACTTTTGCGATGATGTCTTGTCATAAAATAGTAAACTAATGCCGCCATCAATCCAATGACGAAAACGGGACCTAATATCGCTAAGGTCATTTTAAACGTATTGCTTAAATCAGCATTTAGGCGCGTCACTTCATCTGTAATGCAATATATTGTTTTTATTTTTCAAATAAAAGATTAAAAATTATATATACTTACCATTAACAATAGGGGGCAATTCAGGGAAATCTCCGTCGTTACAGTAATCTTTAGAACAACAAACAATGTTTACATGCATTACAGCGCGTTTTCGCGGACCTAGTGTATTCTGGTTACATATTAATGGCAGTTGATCCGGAGAAGTTGTGCAACCTCGTGAAACTTTTTCTTCACCAAATGCACTGCGTGTTCGCGATTTCCAGCACTAATGTGATGTTATGCTAATTATTTCAAATTTCTAAAAAATTTGTTCAATTTGACTTACCTGAATAGCATTCTGGCACATATGCGCATGTTGTGTAGCATTTTTGCAGGGTGGCTCGCATGCATAGCACTTGTATCTGTATTATATTATTAAAATTTAATTACGGGCGCATTTCTTATTTAAAATGTAATACACTACTACTAATACTTTTATTACTGATACTAATACTATTAATAATGTAATTGAACAAAAGGAGCACACAAAAATTTGGAATTTAAACATATATGTGGATTTTTTTAACAACGAAATATAAAGAATGTCAATCACAGAAAAAAAATTCAATAGAATGCAACATTCCATGTTGCGCTTTTTAATTGTAACTGCTTGTAAACTCTTAGTATTTACCTTCTCTTCATGCGACGTTTAGATTTTGTGTGCCTCCTTTGGAATGCGGAAGGGAGGGAATTATTAACAAATATAATTCTTATTACTTTGACTGACTTTTAAGTTGGATGATGTGTGGAAAATACAGTAACCTACGTTCTATCGATACAGTGCTCTTTTAGAACTTACCTGGGATGTGATTGTATAGAATTTCGTGGAACAGGTGAATGTTCTTTTTCATTTATATGCGACATTTCCAGATCCAAGTTTTCTTGTGTTTCGTCCAAAAGACGACCATTTATTTCGGCAGCAGCTAAAACATACATTTTTTTTATTTATGTTACATCTGCACAAATAGTTTACTTTATATTGAAATAAATTGAAATTATGACATTGCTAAATACATAACGCAAGTGGTCTATAACGTTGCGTCGTACTGCAGCACTAACTGTATTCTTTTCATGCTGCATAATACTAGTATATTTATAATTATATAATATTGTAAGCAAATATGATTTGGATACAATTACGAGTACATCCTATTTCCAATTTTTTAAATTACCTTTAGTGTTTTGTAATGGAAATATTGAAATTAATAATAATAAAAATACAACGTCGGCCATTGTTGTAGCGCAGCAGCACAAAAACAAAATGGATAGCGAAATATGCTTGATGTGGATTTAACTTATCTAAGACAGCGTTGCATTTTTAAAATAACATTTCAGTTTGAACTCATAATGCTTTTGAAATAAACTAATTTAAAATATTGTGTACAAGATTACAGTTAGAATTTATTTTCTTAACGTTTATCTGACTAATTTTTTCTTAATTTAATAATTATTTTTAATAAATATGTACAAAGCGAGTTAATATAAGCTCAAAATTTAATGTGACTGTATAAACTAGGATAGGGCATTATTCGTAAGCCGTCGACTATTCAGCACTCGCAGCAGAGCAACTATTGGAAAGTCGCAGTAGAACTGCTATAGAATTTATCTTTTAATATTCATACGAACGGTTAGAAACCGGATATTCGAATTATCGGTTTTCAGGTTATTGGAATCATTTTAAGACCCCTAGTATCAATCACATTACAAATAAGTTATTTTTGTAATTGTTTATTTATAAATAATGAAAGAATTCATAAAAAAGTATACTTTCTTCGATTAATTGCATTTATATGTATGTCGTAAAAGAAGCGAGATATGGGATGTGAACACATTATAAAAAGGGGTGGTGACAGATCATGACATATGATTGTTTTTATTGTTTTTCAATTTTAATAACAAGAGCCTAATAATGCTTAAGACGGGTAGAAATAAGTCAGCAAAGTACTTGCTTAATAAATTATACCGAGATGTTTCTACTTGGTCGACTCCTTTGGCAACTGCATTTAATTCGCCTCCATATAAAAAAATAAACTTTACGCGCAACGAATCGGTGAGTTCTTAACTAATCATATACCACTCGGTAACAATTTTCATGGTAAGCTGATCAGAAACTTAACACAAACTTTGATTTTAGGGACTATTTCGTTTGTCGGAATTACGTTCTTTTGAAGGTTTCTATCTCTTGCGTGATAATGTTGCAAATAAAACGGAAGAGCTAATATCTGAAGCTATCTCAACAAATCGCGAAAGAAAAATGGTAAATATATTCCGGACAAGTACATTTATGTTCTGTAATGATTTTTTGTTTAGGTTGAAATTTTTGATGAGCTTTCCGATTCCCTTTGCAAAGTAGCTGATCTAGCAGAATTTATTCGAATTGCACATCCAACGAACAAATACTGCCAAGCCGCTGAGGATACCTGTATTACTATAAGTAGAATAGTTGAAAGTTTGAATACCCACAAACCTTTGTATACAGCGTTACGCAATGTTGTTGATAATGGTGATATTTTGCCCACGACAGATGTTGATAAACACGTATCCAAATTATTCCTCTTTGACTTTGAGCAGTCGGGCATTCATTTAGCAGAAGAAGAGCGGCAAAAAGTAGTTCGGCTTAATGAATACATTTTACAATTAGGACAAAAATTTATGGCCGGTGCTGTACAGCCTTCTATTATTCGGCGTACTGATGTTCCATCATCAGTTCGCAATTAGTACGTTGATTGCACAATTACATGATTAAAATATTTGTACTAACACTAACTATTTACATCGATAACAAGCTTTCCTTCGGAAGGAGATAGTGTTCTCGTTTCCGGTTTGTACACAAACTCATCATCTGCTGAAGCACGTGAAACTGCTTACCGTCTATTCTTGCAGCCATCTGAGCAACAGAATCAACTCCTTACAGATTTACTTTTGTGTCGCCATGAACTTGCTCGTACTTGTGGCTTTGAAACGTACGCACATCGCGCACTTAATGCAAGTACTGTCGAGCATCCAAAGATGGTTCAAGAGTTTCTAGATGAATTGTCACAAGGACTTTCTTCTCGTGCGGATGCTGATTTCAGAATAATGGAGAAAATGAAGGTGTTGATATCAATATGCTCTTAATTAACTATCTTCTTACATAACATTCTATTTTCGTAGCGACAAGATAGCGGAATAGATACAGCTCGCGTTGCTGCTTGGGACCCTCCTTATTTCACTTCTCTGATGGAGAGGAAATCATTAAAAGCAAATACTAGTGAATTCTTGCCATACTTCAGTCTAGGTGGCTGTATGGAAGGGCTTGATAACATAATGCGTTCATTGTATGGCATATCTTTGAAAAACACCGAAATGGAGCCGGGGGAAAGTTGGAATAACGATATTTATAAAATATCAGTTGTTCATGAGACCGAAGGTTTACTTGGTTATATTTATTGCGATTTTTTCGAACGTAGTGGTAAACCCAATCAAGATTGTCACTTTACAATACAGGGAGGAAAAGATCTACTCGACGGTAATTATCAATTGCCAATTGTTGTTGTAATGTTAAATTTGTCTCAACCTCATTGGACTGGACCTGTATTGCTGTCACCGTCACGGGTTGACAATCTTTTTCATGAAATGGGTCATGCAATGCATTCAATGCTTGCCCGAACGAAGTATCAACATGTAACCGGTACACGTTGTAGTACAGATTTTGCGGAGGTTCCGTCTGTATTAATGGAATATTTCGCTAACGATCCACGTGTTTTACGAACATTTGCCCGCCATTTCCAGACACAAGAGCCAATTTCCGAAGATATGCTGCAACGACTTTGTGCCTCGAAGAAGCTTTTTTCAGCTAGTGAAACACAACTACAGGTAAATAATTATGGTTTTTATTATATTTATTTAAGGTCTGTTAAACCCGGTACCGCATCTTTAGGTTTTCTATTCTGTACTTGATCAAGTTTACCATAGTAGACCAGTATCGCATAATAGAAGCACGACGGAAACGTTAATAGATGTGCAAAGCGAATACTATGGATTACCATATGTAGAAAATACGGCTTGGCAGCTCCGTTTTTCTCATTTGGTTGGATACGGAGCGAAGTATTATTCTTATTTGATATCGAAAACTATAGCTTCGTGGATATGGCAAAACTATTTTGAAAATAACCCATTCAATCGCGAATCAGGTGAGAAGTATCGTCGCGAAATATTGGCACATGGTGGAGGTGTACCTTCGAGGCAACTGGTTGCGAATTTTTTGAAGAGAGATATGACTCCGCAAATCCTTGCCCAAAGTTTACTGAATGAGATTGACACGAATAATGAAATTGTCCAGGATATAAGTAATAGTGTACTTAATGCAGAAATGTGACTTCTTGATAATAGATAAAATTTCATACATACATATATGTGTATGTACATAGCAAACAAGTTTAGTATTATTTGACCTATTTATTAATGAAATTATAACATTTTGAAATACATCAATTGATAAATAAAGTATAATATTATACTAGTGTGGTTATTCAACAAATTTTGCACGTTTTCATTCAACCACACTCTATTACAAAGGAATATAATAATAACAGTTTCTATGGAATCTTTAACATAATTGCTACTAGTGTTGGGCTATCGCTGGCATTATTTCCAATCCTGTAAATTCTTTTGCGATGCGTACGCCTAATAGGAAAAGCCCAAAACTCTTCAACACGGACCTGAAAGAATCCATGCAGCAAAAATTATATACTTCATGCTGTGGTGTTACGTCACTTGTAGAAAGTAAATAAAGCTATCTTCTTACCACTGGAATTCATTGTGGTAAATGCTTTTGAGTATGTTTATTGGATTAACGCTTTTTTGGACCATTTTATTTATTAAATTTATTTAGTAAACCGATATGAAATCGCAAAACTGATGGCGAATGCTTGAAATGACAGTGATGCCAAACTTTAAAAGCTTAACCACACATTTCTGCTACATCTTTTATTCAGTTCCCAGCAGAGAATCTATCGAGTACATATATATTTTCACATTTTCTGGTTGCACGCAAAAAATTCCAACATATCAAAGTTATTTCCAAATGGCTTATGACTTTTGAACCGTGAATTGAGACAAATTTAAAACCTCGACGACAACGAATCTAGAATTTATCACCCAAACGGGGATTAGATAATCGTTATAACAACAACAACAACAACAAATTTAAAACATTTAAAATTAAAAAAGGAAAAAATAAATGATGGTTATTCAAAATATATTAATAATTTTATTTGCTAAAAATTTAATATTTGATACATTCTATAGGCAGAGAATGTAGATTATAGAGAAGGTTCACAGTGCGGCCATTAGCAAAATATTTCACGTTTCGCAGGGGTACTGAAAACGATGAGGGTATTTCGCCAAATGTCCACAATTAACATCAGGGGACTGAAAAATAGCAGAATTGAGCATTTTCAATGTTAATTGAGAAAAATAATGAAAAATTCACACGCTTTCGTAGTTGGACCTTCTTTATATTTTACATTCTTGCTATATAAATGTATTTAGACCATTAGTGCATCTTTCCAGTTCGGACAGCACTGGTGTAAACTCGTTTCAGAGAACGTAAATCAGAGAACGTATATCATTCTCTGCGTAAATTATGATATACGTTCTCTGTATACGTTCTCAACTCTGGTTTCTTTGTATTTCTTCATTCATGAAATTTCTATTGGTATATTTTCTTTTTTATAGCTTCACATATGTTATTGTTTTTTGTGCAGTGGATATTGAAATAGTGTTGGCTATTATAGTTTAAACGATTTAACAATTGACTTCTAGAAGCAAATTTATTCAAAGAAAATACAGAAAAAATTAAGGAACTTGTGCAAATATATCATATATTTATGGAAAGTTATATTATAAAAGTATAAATGCTTACGGTGTGAGAAGAGAAACTGGTATGTTTCATACTTTAAGTGAATGTAGCAAACTGGATTTTAACATAGTTATTTCCAAATTTGCGATAAAAGGTTTTGAATATATTCTCTAATAAATTGGATCGTGTTTTAAATACAAGTTGTGTGCTAAAACATGGTTGCTTTTACTTCGTTAAATCGATTTTCCAAAAGATATAATGTCGATTGGATAAAAAGTTAAGATATGCACTTGCATACATGCATATGTACCTTTCTTATTTGATTTCTCCTAATGTGATGAATCATTTACCTATAGTTGTTGTAATTTTCCCAATAAAGTATATTTTGGATATTATTTATTGTAGAGTTGGCAAAACTAAGCATTTATATACATATATTTACTATCGTAAATGTAATTGGTTGTGTAGCGCTATTCCATAAGCAGAAACTGTTGGGCATTGTATAAATCTACTACTAGGCTTATACAATGCTGTTGGGTGATCTGAGGCATAACTCACAATTACGCACTATAAGATTTCTAATTATCTAAAATATTTGATTTGTAAATAAAAGATTTGTAACGAATTTGTATTTTCAGCTTAGAGCTCTTATAAAAATGTAATGCTTCTTAGGCGTTATCAGAGATTATAATGTATACATATTTATTTATTATATATGTATTTGTATACGTACTCATTAGCTTCTGAAATGATGCATATAGTTTCATAATAGACACATGTAAATACATATATCTGGGTTTAAAGCAATGCTAGATAGGATTGCGGCCTTATTTGCAGAGTATGTGTAGATGTATGTAGTTCGACTTGATAGTAATGAAAAGTTTATAATAATACTAAAGGCATGTGAATAATGTGGCGATAGTTCTAATCGAAATTAAAAGCAAAAGCTCTTTATTCAGGATGCTAAGATTAAAGTATATTTTTCATTTATATTATTTGTACCTCTGTAATAACGGATGGGCGTTTTTTGTACAACAATCGGCAATGTTTTCAATTATCTATTAAGTGTGTCATAGTCTCGCGACATGTTACTGAAATCGAGTAACACCCACTGAAACACCCACAGCACACCCTTACTAAAGGTCCGAAAATTGGCTGGCATTAGAAGTCCAAGTTTAGCGAAGTAAGATGCGAGTAATTTCAAAAATTAAACAATGGAAATGCCACCGCCCACTTCCAAAAGAAAAAAACCGTATCTCGAAATTTACGATGGGGTCGGACCAATGGCAATCACCTTATTATTTATTGCTGTTATGAACGTTTTAGCCCCCATTCCAAATATAACGCTTTCCGATCGATGATTTTCCTCCAAACTTTCGTCTAGCTACGCATCTCCATTCACCTGCACCCGGTCATTGCTGGTATTTAGGCAAACAAAGTTGAACTTCAGTATATATTTTTATCGAAATTCTTATTGTGCCTTATTATGCCATAGTTTCTTAAAAATAGCAAACTTTTTATTTCAATGTAATGTATATAACATACATATTAATTTAACTAACTGAGAATTTCTTTTTATTAGCTTAAATTAAACCTGGAATCGTTTGCAAAAGATACGAAGATACTTTCGGTTATACCGTTCATTTAGTTTGGAACAAAATGGACGTTTTTGATATGTTTGCTGAAAGAGCCTGGAGTGATGAGTGTGAGAAACTACCAAATAAGAACACAATTTTCACAAATGATTTCAATGGTATTCCGGAAACACTATTATTGAACGTTATTTCTTGGCTTTTATTAATTGGTTTATTCACCGCTTTACGGCATCAAGCCGGAGATTATGGTCGCCTCGCGCTTGTTAACAGCCATGGTACCAGAAAACGCTGGACCGAAGTATTTTATTCACGTGCAACAAGTACGGTTCTTACACCCACGCCCGAAGCAACCACCAGCCGTACGCAAAATGATGCTGAAGGTGGTCGAGGTAGTATATCATCGAACACATCAGAGCCGCCTTTATCTCCCATTCATTCGGACCAGGGATTTTTTGCTTGGATAAAAATAACCTGGAAACTGCAAAAGGAGCAAATAAAGACTCATACAGGACCGGATGCCATACATTATCTGTCTTTTCAGCAACATCTTATGACTGTAATGGCAATAGTAACACTAGTTTCAATAATCATTATATTGCCCGTAAACTTGTTCAATGGGTCTACTGAAGGTAGAACTGATTTGAATTCGTTTGGTCACACAACTATGGAAAATGTATCTCCAGAATCGCCGTGGCGATGGGTACACGTTATCGTGACAATTATGTATGCTCCCCTCATCGTACTCATAATGCGTCGTTCATCTGGTCGTAATGCATTTAAAACAGCAGCCACACGTACCATAATGATATCCAATATATCGGCGAGTGATCGTAATAAGACAATTATTCGTCACTACATACAAGAACTTTTTCCTGATGTCAACATAGAAGATGTACAAATTGCGTACAATATATCTAAATTGACAGTGCAAAATTCGGAATATGAGAAGATATTGGATGCCCGCATATACTGTGAACACCATAGGGACAAAGATACGCTGCAGGTATTGGCTGAAGTTCTAAGATTATTAAGTATAAAAAATTTTATTAAGTCTATCAAGTTTATAGAGCAATAACATCAAGTTATACTCCATAAGCTTGATTCCAGAAGCATACATATTCTCAAATATTTATTTATACCAGATTTTTATGTATATATATTTTTGGTAAAAATTTCTTTCCTTTTAGGTAAAACCAAATATGTGTTCTTGTGCTAAAGAAAACGCATACGCTTATTATCAACGTGAAGAGCGTAAACTCTCTGGAGATGTGGCACGTTTGAGAGCTGCCGCCCTCAATGAACCACTTGCAACAGCTTTTATTACCGTGTCGACTGTACATGAAGCACAAAATATTGTCAGCCATTTTACACCAGGCACCTACCGAAAATGGAATTTGGAATTCGCCCCTTCACCAGACGACCTCTTTTGGGAGAATTTGAATGTGAGCAAGAGCAATTGGTACTTCAAATGGAGTATTGTCAATTTAATACTATTTTTGACGCTATTCTTTCTCACAACGCCAGCAATTGTACTAAACTTTTTAAATGCCTATGCATTAGCTAAAGGTAATATATACCATATTTCACCAGTAGTATCAGAATTTTTGCCAACATTATTACTGTGGACGCTTGCGGCGCTGATGCCTGTGATTGTTGCATTCTCTGACAAATGGTTGGCTCACTATACACGTTCTCTTCAGAATTATTCAATTATGATTAAATGTTTTTGCTATTTACTCTTAATGATCCTCATTCTGCCATCACTGGGTCTAACGTCAGCACAGAAATTAATCGAATGGTCAATTAGTAATGACACTATACGCTGGTACTGTGTTTTTATGCCGGATCGCGGTTCTTTCTATGTGAATTATGTAATTACCGCCGCTTTCATTGGTACGGCTTTGGAGCTGTTACGTTTTCCAGAACTTATTGTGTATATTTGGATGTTGTGTACGGCCAAATCGAAAGCTGAAACACCCTATATCCGAAAATCCATATTGATTGAGTTTCCATTTGGAATTCATTATGCTTGGACTGTATTGGTGTTTACCATTTCTATAGTTTACAGTGTTTCTTGTCCACTTATAATGCCCTTTGCTATGATTTATATTTGTTTTAAACACTTCGTCGATCGCCACAATTTATTTTTTGCATATGGTCCTTCAAACATGATATCCAGAAATGGTGGGAAAATTCATTCGACTGCCGTCACAATGACTAAATCTGCGATTGTCATCCTGCTTGTAGTTATGGCGATGATTTCAGTTTTTCGTGAAAGAGGAAATGCGCGTGCTATTATACTTTTTATGACACTAGTATTAACGTTGGCATTGTTTGCACTAATGTCGCCCATTAAACGGTGTGCATCCGTACCACGTCCCAGCGTGGTCGAGGTGGCAGGCCCAGCGCCGATTTATGTGCCCGATGTCTTGCGACCGCGTGCAACAGTTGCTTCGGGCACGTTAAATAATCACGCAGCAACTAATGGTGGTGGTATCACAGGATATGGTTCGGATAGTGTTTCAGATTTTGACATTAGCTCACAATATAGTGTAGATGCCTAAAAAACACAATTATTTAGAAGCGAAAAAAGTATTGTTGGATATCAAAAATGCCTTGCAGTCAATCACATGTGGAATATATTCATAAATTATGTGTGAAAAAAAAAAATAAGTCATACGCTGTATACTATATAGCTACGACTTACGAATAATTAAAATACCGAAATATTAACTCGCGAAAGTTTAATTTTGTATTAAAATATTTATATATTTAAAAAAAATCTTATTACGATACACAAACTTACATACTTGCGAATTATTTTCTAATGATACAGTTCACTTTCTGTGCAATAACTTAATTGTGGGTACTGTTAGAGTTTATATATTATATTCCTTTTGATCTTATTCTGAGCTTAACATTATTATTACTTTTTTCTTAATTTCAATGGCTCGTAAATATGTATGTATAAACAAATTTCTATTGTAAGTATGTATATGCCGACTAAGTTTCTTTAATGACCCATATTTTATCAACTTAAACATTTAAAAGTATTTTTCACAGTTATTTAATTTTATTTATATACTAAGTTATAAATGATATGAATTGAAAATTATAGGTGTATTAAAGACGTTCGAAATCTGTTAAAGGCCACAAAAAGAAAATTGCAATATTGTTTGTTTAAGGAGAAATGTGATAATATATTGAAAATGTAATAAATGTATTTTATTTGTAAAATTGGCTTTAAACGTTTACAAATAAATGTCTGGCTATAATAAATTTTGTGTAATTGCAGCTATTACGGTATTATACTCATATATAAACAAAATTTTTTGTTCTATTTATATATTGTAAATATGTATTCATAGGTGTATGTTCAACGTACATACGTAAGTTTATTTGCAATACATTAATATACGAGAACTTTAAATATAACACTAATTAAAAAGGTTTGTTTTTATTTA